GGCAAATCGTCGTCCCCAGTTCATAGGATCTCATCCATCCTGCCACACCCCTTCTGCTTCTACCCAGCACTACGTACTATCAAAACTACAAATGCAAAGGCAAAAAGGCCAAAAAATAATACTTAAAAATGTTGTAATAGCTGAAATTGTGAGAACTTGGTCTTGATTAGTGATTCCAGAATTTGTAACAGGCAGGACAACCAAAGCTTTGTAATGAGACGGTCTGCAACATTCTGGAAACCTGCCAGTTTACACCAATCTCCATTATCTCAACTATCTCCATAGCAACAACTCTCAATATGTCTTCTTCTCTCAATACTTCTGCTGGCTTCTCAGGCTTTTTTTGGAGCTGGATATAATTTTTAGCATCTTATATGAATGAAAATGGCAAAAACCTAAAATAATGAGAGTGGAGAATTTGGATCTTTCCATTGGTGCTTCAATGGAACATCCATCTTTATATGAGTATCTGTTCAAGCATGTGTGCATAGACTTAGATAGTAAATAGTGGACACAGCTTCTGGGTCTAAAAAGTGAAGCCAGGGCATTCTTTCTATTGCCAGCAGGGGGCAACTCAACTGGTTTCAAAAATAAGTCTGAATGTATGGAGTCTTATGTGAAAATAGCCCGTACTGATTGACTTCATTTATTAGCTAAGTAAACAGTTTTTGAATGAGTTTATGGTCTCAGTCTCTAGTTTCAAGTCTTCTTTCATAAAGCACGATGTTCATTTAGTAACTAAGGTCCCAAAAACCAACATAGGAACGGCCATAATAACCAAGAGACCCAATGGGTCACATCACAGAAGGTTCACTCTTGCCTGTGTCATACAAACAGCTGTTCCTCAGACAAATTGATGAGGTAATCCTCTCATTCCTCTGTCTAAAAGTCACAAAAAGACAAAAGTTTGTAACTGACTTGACCAACAATGCTCATAGAAATATGTATTTGTATATGTAAAAATACAATTTTAATCTATAATAAGTTATTTGATTTTGAACACATTGGGCTACCATATTCAAATGCATCAAAGTTATCCCATGTGTCTCTCAGAGAGTCTATCAACAGTCTGAAGAGGAAGTACTCCCAGTCCTCAGAGCCCACTGACAGTGACGCTGCCATAGAGAGAACCCTCAACGAGGTGGCCAAGGAGGGATGTCAGTTCCTATTGGATGAAGTTTTCCTAGACCTCGAAGTAAGAAGGGTTGTTATTGGACTCAACTGTATTTACCGTATGTTAAATGCTCTTTGTTGTATTCTTAGCAAAGTCTTGTGTATTTGTATGCAAAGCAATTTGTATTTTGTTTGGACCAAAACATCTACAACTACACTTACACATAAGGAAATTCTACTGCTGCTCCAATACATTTAATTGCTTAGATTTTGACCTTATATTGACCAGCATCACCTGAACGAGCTGCTGACCAGGAAATGGCTGACGGGTTCTCATGCTGTGGACACCATCTGTGTAACAGTGGAGGACTACTTCAATGACTTCAACAAGATCAAGAAACCATTCAATCAGGTAGGATCAGAGCAGAACACAGTGCTCTTAGAAGGGTATCCCCAAAAATTCTTAATGAATTCCTATGAAACTTAATGTCATGGGGTCAGGTGGAACTGACTGAGATGAGAATATGAAACGTGTTCTAATATGTGGAACATGTGTCATATTCTCACTGTTCTATAGCTGTGGGAGAGCTATGAGCCCTGTGAGTGCCAATTTTCTGTTAAGATGATCTTGTGGCATGGCTGGTTGGCTGTGCTGTGTGCAGGAGATGACGAGCGAGGCCCTGCGCAGGGTGGTGGTGGAGTACATTAAAGCAGTGATGCAGAAGAGGATCACCTTTAAAAATGCTGATGAGAGGAGGGAGGGAGCAGAGAGAATGATCAAAGAGGCGGATCAGTTCAAGTTCCTCTTCAGGAAACTGGCTGCTGTGAGTTCACATATAATGCCTTCCCTGTACTACAAAATTATTCATTTCCAGTTGCAACCAGCAATTAACCTTCCTAGGTCCCACCTCTTTTTGCTCTGTGCTTCAATAACAGTTGACCAAACCTGGGTCAGAACCTTCAACTCTCTCTCTTCACCTGTACTAGATATGCTATGTGCTAGGCTCGTCTATTGCTGAAAAGACAACCGCATTTTGAAAAAGGTTAAAAGATAAAAGCAATACACACAAATAGAAAAAAAAATCTGCTCCATAAACCCCCATATAAAATTAGTCTGTGAAATCAGTAGGAAATACAAACGTTCAAATGCCGTTTGTTATCTCTTTACAATCTTCAAATGTTGGTTGTCTTTTCAACATAGAGAGCCTAGCACATAGCATATCTAAGTACAGGAAAGGAGGAAGTTCTGATGAGACAGAGCAAAAAGGGGTGAGACTTAGAAAGCGTCAATTAACTACTGTTGAGTTTAACAAATCTGTCAACCACTAGTACACAGTACTGTAGCTGAACAGCTCCTGTGTACACAGTGCTTGGTCAGTGTAGTCATGGTGAAACAGATTGGAGGGCCATCATGCCTAACTTTGATTCATCGCTTCATTTAGGGTGAAGACACAGATCGACTTTGTGGTGCCATCGCTGCAATCGCTGAAGTGTTCAAGCTGACTGACCCCACACTGCTGTTCCTGGAGGTCACTACACTGGTGTCCAAATATCCTGACATTAGGTACCCACAGTCACACACACTTTGAGAGCTATTTTACCTTGCATCAGCATGACACCTTATTACTAATAGCTAAAGACTTATGTATCTTGACATAGACATCTGTAGAAGAAATTCCAGCTGCAACATAAACCCTTAAATACAATTTCTCTTCCGCTCTGCCAAATGAGTTTAGGTGTATTCATGCACTGTGTTAGTGATGCAGAGGATGGACATCATCTGTACAGGCTTTTAACATGCTACCACTGGGCCTAGACTGTTTAAGTCATTAACATTATTTCTTTGAAGCCATGACTGGTCCAGCATACACAGTACCAAGGCCCTAAACTGGTACACCTAAATAGAATGTAGCCATTAAAAATTATTTTCAGCACACCTGATATTCTAAGTATTTTGGATGAGTTTCTTCATAAATTTTATACTACATACTGCATACTCTGCTTCCTGTGTGAGCAGATGCCTCATTGCCTAATCTTTCCAATGTTTTTCTGTCCTTTTGGCTCTCCGTAGAGAGGAGCACATCCAGGCGTTGCTGGCAGTGCGTGGCGATGCCAGCAGGGAAATGCGCCAGATGATTATAGGGACTCTCAGCGAGAACAAAGTGTCCTACTCTGGAGTGACACAGCCCATCTTTAAAGACATCACCGTGCCCACCATCACCATGACGACCATGACTACCATGACCTCCATGGCAACTGCAAAGCTGCTCAAATAAAGCTGATCACCATGACACCATTTCCACCTCCAGCACCTTCAGACACAACACCATCAGTAAACTTATTTTTCCAGGCACTAAATTCTTTGAATGTTTAATGCAGTGGTTAGTGTTTTACTATCCACACCCTTAATTTGCTGTTTTTATTATTATCCTGATCACGTCTCTGCTTCAAAAAAATAATAAAATCCTAGCTGTAAAAATGAACTGTTGTATGACTGCTATTTAGAGGTAGAAGCATCACAGCATTTGGGCCCCTTCTTTTTCTTCTACCCCTCCTCCTCCTCTTCATCCTCACCCTTCTTTTACTTATTTTTCTCCTCATCCTGCTGCTTCTCCACCACTACCGTACTTCGGCTTGTGTGCAGATGTCACTGTTCACAAATTCCTCTTTATTTGTCGATGCTATGAATTAGAATTAGCAAACAAAAATGCAATAAAATCTAGTTTGATGCATTACTGAAGAACTCAAACAGGCACTAATATTATAGGGTCCTTATTTTCACATGAGAAAATATAAAGTTGTTAAGTACAACAGGAAGTACAGTATGTTACCATGTAGGAAATGGATCAAAAAGACAAAGAAATCATTGATAAAGGTGTGCTGCTATGTTGGATTGAAGGTTTAATTAATTGAATTGAGCTAAAATAGCAGTCTGTTCAGCTTAGGTGAATCATTAATTTTCACACCAGACAACAAACACAAATTGCTCTACTTCTCATAATCTCACGCAGCACACAAAATGAAAACATCGGTATCCAAATATGTTATACATAATACATCAAGTCTATTAGAGCAACACATTGTTCATGTTTATCAGTGAATTTTAATTTTCATTGTTGTGTTCTTTTATTGGTTATGACCGTCATCAAAACAGAGTTAACATATAGCAATGAGAAAAATGAAATCAGTGCAATTCAACTCAAGCGGCAATTCATAACAGAAGTTTATCCAGGACACTTTTTCAAATAGAGCAGGTCTAGACGAACTCCTTATAATTTACAGAGCCCCAACAGTACCACCCATGAGCAAAGCACTTGGCGACGGGGGCAAGGAAAAACCTGCCTTTAACAGGCAGAAACCTAGGATCGACCCGTTCGGCTCTAGGTGGGTGGTCATCGCCTTTGACGCTGCAGATCCATACATTATGTCAAACAGTGACGAAATTATGAAGAATGCTTCTAAAGTAGATGTCGGTGTATCTCTATAAATGCAGATGATGTGGTCTATACATATAACATCACAGAACATTAATAAGTGTAATTCATTGTATCAGTTATTTGAAAGTAATTCAATTTTTTCCAATAGATTCCTATCAGTCTACATTCAAATGTGGCCTGGGACAGCCAGGGATGCGGGCTGGGAGCTGTCAGTTAGAACTGTCTGTGGGACTGAGGAGTGGCAGGGCATCCTCCATCAGCAATGGTAACATCAATATGAAGAGACTTTAATTTTGGCCTGTTTTATAGAATGCTGTAGTAGTTCAGAAATTACCTTTATTGGCCAGGTACGTGTTGACATACAAGGAATGTGACTCCAGTTGGTCTCAGTGTTACACACAGAAAAATTTACAGGAAGATGGACATGCAGCTAAAAACAAGGACAACAAAGCTGGGCAAAGATAGGTCAAAATAGGCATAGAACTATAATGTACATACACATGGTTGAGAAATAAGTGTATATATAAATATATATATTTAAAAAAAACTACAGTGACCAATAACATATGGTACTATATATATATATATAATATGAGAAATAAGTTTATATATAAATATATATATATATATATATATTTTTTTTTTTTTTTAAACAGTGACCAACAACATATGGTACTATATATATTCAATACAACCTAAAAATATTGTTTTTAATTCATCTTTAAAAACAGGTTAAGAAACATTATTTGAAGATCAATTATTTTCGTTTTTTTCCACTAATTTTATGTTCTTTATTTTTTATTTTATCTTTTTCCTTTGCCACAGCCTGCTTTGTCCAGTGGGTGGCGGTAATGCGCCTGTGAGCTGTAATCACCGCCAATAAACAAGCAGAGGCTGATGAAGAAATCAGAAACAGGATGTTGCGTCTAATTTGTGGAGCTGCAGAGTGCTGAACATGAATAAACCCATTTAGCTTCTGTCACAACCTTAATAACGGACTTTCTAACGTAACTGTTTTATATATCTGCTGAGACCACGGACAGCTGAATTGGGTAAGAGTGTTCGACAGTTGCGGCTAATATGGCTAATGATGTTTACTGCTAAGCAGAGCTAGGATACCGCTCTAACAAGCTTACGTTAGGTTCGCTAAGGCTCGCAGCTAACAGCAGCAGCTAAATTACCGCCACAAACTAAACAATTTCAGTGTGAGATAATCTTCATTAGAAATGTGTTGGACATACTGCATCTAAAAGCTGTGCTTTTCCCGTTAGCACCATCGTTCCTGGCTCTTGGTATCCATTAATATTAGCCAGGTAGCAGCAGCCGTTCAGGGTCACAGAGATAAACAAGCTAGCGTCACCCATAAAGCTGAAACAGCGTGTATTGAGGTCAGGGTTAGAAAGCTGGCCTTAAAGGCAGACATTTTAATTGCTCTAGTAGTCTTGCATGTCTTTAAACTAATGCTACTTATAGCGTTGTAGCGATATAAAATCACGTAAAGTCCATAAATTAGGAGACAGACACATAGTTGTTGTGTGTCCATGTCCAGCAGCCCTACCACTGTTCCTATCAGCTGAATAATATCAGTATGCAGCATCAGTGCAACGGAGAGCTTAGTGGCTCATTCTGGCTGAGAACAGCTCCTGTACTGTTAAGACTATTATAGAAAAAGAAGAAAATACATGTGATTGCTGTAAGCATTGATGTATGACTGCTGCCAGTGTTTAAAGGGATTCACATTATCATATGAAAAATATCTCCCCCATAATGTATACTGGCTGTACTGGAGGTGTGGGCTCAAACATACGTGTCATGCATTTAAGCTGTAATGCTCTCTACATCTTCGAATAGTTGATACACTTCACATCTTAATGAGCTTATGTTGGGTCCAGGTGTGCAGCACTACGCATGTTCACAGTACCACTGTTTTCATGATCAACTAATCTCCTGATCATTGTCTCAATAATCGATTAGTTGTTAGATCAGTGTTCCCCAAAGGGACATCCTCTAATGTCTCATTTAATCCAAAACCCAAAGATATTCACTTTACTGTCCTAGAGGACTAAAGAAAGCAGAAAATATTCACATTTGAGAATGGGCAATTAATTGGATAGTTGACGACTATTTGTTGCATCTCTAATATACAGTATATACAAAGGGAGTGGATGGGGCTCCGTGGAATTGAAATTATTACACAATCCATAAATAGTATATGTTATCATTCAATCATCAATTTGAGCACCGTGCAGTAGTGAACATTTTGAAATGAAAAATAATGGTTTATAAACAATGACTGACACACAAAAGACAATGTGTCCATTTTTTTCAGTCCTAAAGTAATAGTGATTGATAAAATGATAAAAGTCACAGCACCTCTACCAAAGAATTCAGTAGGATTTTAGGACACTGACCCAGCCAAAAATGGCTAATTTGCTTCTTGAATGTCTTCATTGTCTACTGTAGTCTTCCTTAAGCTTCTGCTTTAGACCAGTTCAAACAGGCTCTGTTATATACCAGTAGCTACAAAGGACCATTTGTTAAACACATAACCATGTGCATTTCTGTCTATGCACATGGAATTGTTACTTATTTCAGTCTCTTCAATGTGTTTTTGGGAAAGATTGTATTGATCATGCTGTATCAGCATGGAAGCAATGCAGATTGTTCTGAACATTCTTTGTACCTTTACGCCAGTGTAGCCGCAAAAAAAAGGTTTTAAATTGTATTCAGAATGGTCTTGAAGCCGCAGTATAAAAATATAACTTTCTTCCTAGTGCCTCTAATGGCATTTGCAAGAATCCACTGGTCCCGAACAAAAACAACCAATAAGAACCAAGAAATATGCTTGGCCTGAAGAAAGTTGACTGTTGAGCCTCATTTCCACCGTCTGTATTTGACATCCTGTGAATGAGTCTCAACAATCAACTATCTTTTTCAGCTCTGATTGGTTGTTGTTGTTAAGGCCCGGTGGATTCTTTCAAATACTATTAGGAGCACTAGGAGGATCAAGGATGTGTGATTAGGGAGGCACAAGTAGACATTGGTTAGCTAGAAAAAGGTCACAAGCAAAAAGTGTTGCTTAAAACAGTTTGCCTGTTTAATGCAGGACTCTAAACAGAGTGGCTCATAGTACTGACAGCCACATCATTGCTGTGCTGGTGTTTTGCTGACAGATATAATTCTGTGTCACATTAGTCTCTTTGTTCTTTCAGGTTCATCAAGCTTGCTGAAGTTCCTCTCTTCATCCACTCATCATGGTGGAGTACTACCAGGTGTTAGGAGTACGGAGAGATGCGTCTGCAGATGAAATAAAGAAGGCGTGAGTTGATAAAGCTTTATATCCCAGCTGCAATGCAAACAGCTCAGCAGACGTCCACACGGCAATGCTACATCACTTTGTTGTCCCCCAAAAGCTGTGGCTGCCAGCCGTACAGCTAACTCCCTATTAGCTGGTCACCTTTTTATGGAGCTTCATTAACAACAGAATGACTGAGTGAGCTCAAACTAATGGAGAAATCAATGTGCAGCTCAAGATTTAAGAGTGTGAAGGGATACATTTGTATATTCAGGAGAAGTTAACAGAGCATGTGAGAGTTAAACAGTGAGGTTTCCTGTGCTCACTGTCTTTTTAGTTTCAGCTGTTTTTATTGTTTGTTTAAATTTGATCAATTTATTAGCAGGAATTATGTTCTGAAACTCTGGATGTTATGCAAGACCTCCTCGTACGTTTTTTTTTTTTAACCTGCCTCAGGGTTCATAGAAAGCCTTGAAAGTTTGGAAAATGCCTAATTTTAATGTGCTCAATGTAGCAAGTCTCGCTACTACCTAGGGTTGTCTCAGCACACAGACCAACAACAGGGATTAATGAACAAGACAACTTTATTTCTTTGCCACACACTATTCATACAACTTAGCCCGCTTCAAAAGTCCATGAAGCCTTCCTCCGCTTGTCCCTTCTGTTGTGTGTCGGCCTCCAGGTCCAGCACACTGCCGCATTAAGAGAGGTGAGAGTGATTACTCAATGAGTACCAGCTGCAGAATCATAAAACTCCTTACCACACCTCCTCTCATCCCTCTCTCTCCTCTCTCTCTCTCTCTCCTGCAGCTGAGTGTAAACCACACCCACCTCCACACTTAAATTTGAAAGATTTGAATATTCCACATAATCTGGCACATAATCCCCCCCATATCAACAAAATCTTTTAAAATATAAAATGAAACAGTCATATTTTGTTGCCTCCTGGTGTCCTCGCTTTTCATTCATTGCTAAACATGTCCTCTGTTGATCCTGATTACTTAAACTCACTCCTCCTGTTTCACACCTCTTGTGTCCCTTCCCGAAACTCACCATGTCTTCGTCGGCTCCAGAGTCATAATCCTGGTAGGAGCCGCTGTGAATCTTGCAATAATCCCCTGAAATTTAAGTCCCGGTGACAAGGCACAGGTCCCGTTGTTTCTTTGTTTTCATGCAACTATCTGACTAATGAAAAGTGGGTGGACGAAGTCTCTTTTGTTTACAATTTAATCAACTATTAAGGGACAACCCTAAATTACAGACAATTACAGTGTTCTCTAGAACACAAGTAAAATAGATGTAAATGTAGGTGAATTATTATTAAACAGCCATCATCTTCCCTCCGTCCTTGTGCAGGTACAGAAAGCTTGCCCTGAGGTGGCACCCTGATAAAAACCCAGAGAACAAGGATGAGGCTGAAAAGAAGTTCAAGGAGCTGTCAGAGGCTTATGAAGTCCTTTCAGATGGTTTGTATCAAAACTCTCAGCACAAGCCTACAAATAAACCCCAGACAGCAGTGAAACAATGCACAGTAGCCGATACCAAAATCTCATTTCCTCTACACTGGTTTCTGACTTGTTAGACGTGTTCTCACTCTTGTTATTCTCACTGTCCTCTTCCAGCAAACAAGAGGAGCATATATGATCGCTATGGCAAAGAGGGGCTGACAGGGAACAACGGAGGAAGAGGTAGGTGATCCTTTTAGAAAACCTCCAAACTTACTAGTAGCCTAAATAATTTCCTCTGTTCAAACATGACATTTCACTAAGTAATACTCCAGTTCACTTCAACAGAAAGCCTGGGTCTTTTATTGGGAAGAGTCAGTGATGAAGTGATGGCAGAGAAAATTTCACTGCTCATTGCTTGTTCCTCAGTAACAGACTGAGCCACCTTTTTGTCCTCAGTCTGGATGTTGTCAGGTTTTGTTGATTGTTACCATGGAAACACAGATTTTAATTAAGACATAACCTGTTTGTAAAGTGAGTTGTAAACTTTTGGGGCCTAAAATTAGTCAGGCTTTGGTCCCATGCCATTGTCTACCTCAGACAATGGCATGGGGTTTGTGTTCTTTCTCAATTGGCCTGTATCTCAGCATTTCATTCATTTATGTGATGAAAACCAAATGAATCAGAGCCTTCAGTCTCAGCCCGCATTAGAAATGTTAAAACAACCAAAGAGCTAATAGAACAATGAGAAGAAAACCTTGAATTTGTCAAAAAAGAAGCCTATTAAAGTTTCAGTGTGTAACATTTAAGTTCTAAATGGAATCTGTTGTTGGACATAGATATAATATTCATGGGTATATTTCTCTTTAGTGGTATCACCTCAATCAGGCTGGAATTAAGTCATTTTTAAAGTAAGGCCACTTACACAAATACAAAATTCTGAAAAATGTAGGGGCAAAACGGCCAGTTCACCCAAGGCAAACCGGTCATGTGGGTAGTTAATTTTCTAAGGGGCATTACATCAACATTGAACCGGATGTATAAATTCCTGCCCTGTAAATGGTCAGGAATAATGCTTGAGAGGCCTAACACATCAGGTGTTCCAGTGAGCCATCAGATTAAAGGAGCTGTGTCCAGTCCAGGGGTCTCATTTATAAACTGTGCGTGGATCGTTACTAAAAGTGTACGTACGCCCAAAAGCCAAGTTTTTGCGTGCGCGCAAAAAATATTCAAAGACTTATAAACACCTTGCGTCGCACACCTGTTAAGCAATCTTTGCTTTAATAAACACAGAGTGCCTTACAAATGTGCGGCAGCTGAATCAGCTTCACGTTCCGCCTGGTACCACGCCCCTTTTTAACCAATAAATGGTCAATGCAAACGACCTCATGAATGCGGATCTGCATTAACAACAGACTCAATGGCAAGTATTAGTCTTGTCGAAACAATGGCAGGAAGGACTGAGAAAAGCAAAAAAGCGAAATTTCACGGAGGGTTTGAAGTTGGGAGACACTTCGTGGGTGAGGGTGAGGCCCGAAAAGTAAGTTTGTTCGCGGCTCACGGACTTGGGATCACTAGAAGAAAAAGCAGAGAGAGTGGCAACCATGTTGCTTGCAGCAGGAACTCTGTCCAGTGGCACGCGGAGTCGCACAGTCAGAATAAAAAAGAAATGTCTGAACACGTAAAAATGTTCTTGAACATAACCCTTTTTAATGCCGATTTGTCATGAAGCATCAGAGGAACTGACAATAATATAACGATTGTGCTGAGGAGTATGCTGGCTTGGTTTTCACACTTGGATTTAATTGACATTTGATTATGTGGTTGTCTACCGTGTCATATAAAAATATTAATGTTATTGAAACATGTTGGACAGATGCTTTATTTCATGGCAGTCGCGGTCCGTCACTCGGCCGACGTCCATCCCTCCTGCGCTTCCGGGGAGTGGACAGTTAATGGCAGTTGACGGGTTAAATATAGAGAATTTTGATTTTGAATTTTATTTCCATTCTAAGGAGATGTTTCTGGAAGTAAATAACTGAGAGAATACGCGTGACTTAAATCATTCGTGATTACATATAGTTAACGCCATGATACGGGGTTGAATTAAATGTATGGAAGGCGATGATAAAACATAATCCTTCTTTCTCACTCTAGCAATTTCTTCAAGTCTGACTTCAGTTCACACCACATGACCGTCTGTGTCACCAATTCTCCCTTTTCCTCCAACCATGCGTCCCGCATGGGGTCAGAGTTTGCTTAGGCGTCGCACATTCTCGCCGCTCAGTTTGTTTTTATCGGATCAACAACGCTTGGCGTGGAAAGTCACGTACGCCACTTTCAGCACCGTTTTGTGCGTACGCAAACCGGTTATAAATGAGACCCCTGAGCTTTTTGCTGGGTGATTCAGCAGAAGCGTGCTTTGAATTGTTGAATGGAACCGATGGAGATGACTGGACTGGTGCCTCAGCAGTATGGAATATTGTATACATTCAGTTTGGGTCCAGATTTACACTGTTGACAACACTAACATGATGTTTCAGGGGGCCATTTCCATAACGGAGACCATTTCCATGAACCGTTCACATTCCGCAACCCAGAAGATGTGTTCCGGGAATTCTTCGGTGGCAGAGACCCATTTGCAGACTTTTTTGGTAAGTCGTGCTACTTCAGTGTGTCTACCACTGCTTTTGGAGTTTTTGTCAAAAGTTTGAGCCTGAAGCATACTCTTCCTCATTTCCTGCTCCAGTGTGGATTTACTTGAATACTCATTATTTTGTTTTCGGTCCTGTTCTCTCAGGTACAGATCCATTTAGTGATGATCCATTCTTTGGCCGACGGCACCAAAGTCGGGCGAATCGCAGCCGGACAGGTGGCTCATTTTACGGGGGCTATGTTGGTTTTCCTCCCTTTGGTGCTGGCTTCTCACCTTTTGACCCAGGTAAAAGACTAAAACCTGTTCCCCTGTAAAGCACAAAAACAGATTACACACAATATTAAATGATACTCTCTCTGTCTCTACTGTTTATCTCAGGCTTTGGCTCTTTTGGCCCCATGAGCACCATGGGTCACATGGGTCACATGACAACCATGGGCAGTCTGGGAGGTGGGGGCTTCACCTCTTTCTCCTCCACCTCCTTTGGGGGAGGAGGAGGTGGAGGAGGCATTGGCAACTTCCGCTCCGTATCCACTTCCACCAAGATCATCAACGGCAGGAAGATCACTACTAAAAGGTAGATACTCAAACTGGGACATCACAGTGACGGGCATCTGCCATGACTGACTGCTATCGGATCTGGTGATACCATACGTATCACGATACAGGGGTTGAGGTTCAATATATTGGAATTATATACTTTGATACTCTAAACAAGGCAATGTATTGCAGTTATTTTAATCTATAGGTAGTATAAAGAACACACCACCATAATTATGCAAACAATCTGAGGTACAAAGATAACGTTTTCATGCAACCACAACTGAACTGCATTTGTTTTTATCAGAGTCCCTGTTACATCCAACATTTGCTCTCAATTTACATTTACAACATTGCTTTTTAGTGGTTGGGGTTTAAAGCTGCAGTAGGTAACTTATAAAAATAACTTTTTGTCATATTTGCTGAAACTTTAACCATATTCTGACAGGAGTACATGAGACTAAATCAGGTTCCCCTGGCTCCTCCTAGTGCTCCTAATGGCATTTAAAAGAATCCACCGGGCCTAAATTAAAACAACCAATCATAGCCAAGAAAGCTAGAAAGGTGCTTTGGGTTGGTGGCTTGAAGAAAGCTGACTCGTCATTCCCAGCATTGATATTTAACAAACTGGTAATGAGAAAACACAATAAAACACAAAAATAATAAGTGTTTTTGATCATTTGATTAATTTAATTGATCATTTCTCATACCGCTATTAGAAACTAATGGATGTCTCTTTGGCTTTATATGCTTTTATACATTGCAGTGATTTGCATGATAACATTTTATTTATCCTTAGCTGTCCTACACACCTCACTAGAAATGAAAATCCAAGCTGAGTAAAAGGTGACAGCGCTCTAGTAGATAGACAATCTCACTGGCCCTCTGCTGACAGTTCTCAAAAAAATCTATCCAGTGTTGCTGAAACACAAACCAAACTGGAAACTAGCTTATTGATTGAGTGAAAAAATCAATAGAAAGCAGCTTTTCCCAGACCCTTGGATTTTTCAGCTCCTTGGTCCCTACATTTAACTAATAGCGTTATATTTTACAGGCATTTTGTTATACATCCAACAGATCCTGTGTTATTAGTGAAACCTCTTTGTTCAGCAGCGTTTCACAGATTAAAACTGAAGGGAACAGCTCGTCTACACTCATTTGAAACACTAGGTTGTGGAATGTTAGGAATGTCGTCTTTTGACAAATAGCCATACTAATAGCATTCTGAATTGTAAGGCTGTCACACTAATGGTAAGACTACAGGTTGTGGTTCATTATGCACAAATACAACAATGAACCAGTTTCAAAGGCAACATTTCTTATGTGGATGTCCAATCAGCGTTGATGGTAATGTGTGTGCTATATAGACCTAGAAATAGCAGCAAAATCTGTTCTTTTTCCACTGTCATTTGACACGCACAGTGATGTAGTTGGGCTGCACTATTTATTTTAAATATTATTGGAGTCACAATATGGTCTAATTTAATTAATTTAAATGTATTTTTTATGAAGGTAAACTATGTGACAAACACCATTATAATGAAGTACTGTAGTGCTGAAGAGAAGCCTTTGCCTACAAAACATGTTTGTTTAGTACAGACTACAAACAAAAATTGTGATGCAAAAATGATCATTCACA